CACACACTGCCTGAGTTTACAGCAGACTCAGGGTGATCCCCACAGAGAGGCCTGATTCCCCAGCTGCTCCCTGTGGGAGCACACTAAGGATGAGCCAGCAAGACAGGCAGTGAGACAAAAGGCACACTGGGAACTGTCACCCATAAAGACCTGGGGTAGAGGCCTTGGTACTGCTGTTGTACCTTATTTATTTATTTATTAAAACACACACACACAAACAACTTTTAAAAATTTGTTCTACTTAGTTATACATAACAGCAGAATGCATTTCAATTCTTTGTACAGAAATAGCACCTTTTGATACTCAAACAATGTAGAAAGCCCAGCTATAGGAATTCTGGATTTCTCTTTCTTGTGTTTCTTTTTTCACTCATTTATTAAGTTGCTGATCAGTCTAAATCATATGGCAATGTTTTCTCTTTAAAAAAAAAAAAAAATTATTGATACTAGGAATTTAACCCAGGGGCACTTCATCACTGAGCCACATGCCCAGCCATTTTATGTCTTATTCTGAGACAAGGTCTCACTAGGCTGGCTTTGAACTTGTGATCTCCTAACTCGGCCTCCCAAGTCAGTGGGATTACAGGTATGTGCCACAGCACCAACTAGGGCAATGTTTTCAGGGAATTCTAGACATCTGAGGCTGTGGGCGGACAGCTTGAGCTGTGGACTGGGTACATCTGCTGGGTCACAGTTCTATGCCCCAGGTTCAGCGCCTTGCCACATGGTCTCAACCTCCTCATCTGCAAAGTGAAGGTGAGGGTGCCGCCTACCTCCCCAGGGGCTGCGGTGAAAGCTCAAGGTGCAGTGCCTGGACACACAAAGGGCTCAGTGACCGCTCCTTTCTAATGCAGTGACCAGTAATGCAGAGGAGACTTGCTATCAACTCAGTGAGCGCTTCCTAAAGAGCTCAGTGAGGGAGACTGGCTCAAAATGTGACTGTCTTCCAAGGCTATGCTTGCAAGCCGAGTGTCCTTATAACACAGACCTTCAGGTGAATACCTTGACATGTCACGTGTATCCTTTAACCTTCTCTTTCTATGTGAAAATGGCTTGCTTAGAAATAAGTAATAATTTCCAAAGGTTTAAAAGCATAGAACAAAACTGAAAACAACTACTGTTGGAGCAAGTGGAAGACATGCTCTCTCCTGGGTACACGTCTGTCCACTTAGAAACAGAAGGCACACACAGCCTCAGGTGCATGGATACATGCCTGACCTCGATGCCCACCCACATGTATGCTCACAAGATCTTGCTGCTGCACTCTTGGAACAGTATTCTTTTTTTCCAGTACTGGGGACGAACCCAGGGGTGCTCTTCCTAGCTACATCTCCAGTTCTTTTTAATTTATTTTGAGACAGGTTCTTGATAAGTCACCCAGGCTGGCCTCTAACTTGTGATCCTCCTGCCTCATGAATCCCTGGGACTACAGGTGTGGCTCCTGCTTGGCTGGAACAATATTCTCGAGCCCCAAACTAGTAAGCATCCAAATATCCACCACTGTGGAATGGAGAAATCAACTCTGGTGTGGGCACAAATGGGGCCACACAGCCATGACAATGAAGTACAGCTACCTGAGTGACAGGGACAACCTCACCAGCTAAATGCTGAGCAAAATAAATCACAAAGAAGAAGGGTGACAGCTGAGACCTTCAACCTGAAGGCTACCCTGGGAGGGTGGACAGCGACTAGGGAGGGCAATCTGGGTGCATTTCTAGGCTGTGGCCTTCTTGGTTCCCACTGGTTACAGTGTGTGTGACCTGAGAGAGTCCACTGAGCTGTTCACTCAGCAATCCCCTCAGCATTGGTGTTTTTATGCTGCAGTAAGAAGGTAAGGAAGAGATAAAAGTTATGGCACAATTAATTTGTTAATTAAATTAATAATTTTGTTCATTCATATTAATCTAAAGAGGATTTAAGAAATTTAACATGAACTTAAAACTTTCCCTAAACTGAGATGAAACATGTTGCTCCTTTTTACAGAGGCACAGATGCCTTTGTCAGGGAGCGCGCTGCTCAGAAGTCTTGGTTTTGAATAGAAGCTCCCGAAGTTCTTTCTTGTGGTCTCCTGAATGCGGAATCTGACCAAGAATCAACGGAACTCAAGTGGGGACCAAATGATTCTCCATCAGAAAAGCTCTAGTACACCTTTAACAATCTGTCAACCACAAAACACAAAAATGCTAGAATACATATGATGAGAATTCTTACTGCGGTTCACGTAAAATACTCCTGTTGTGGGGCTTTTTTACACTTGACAACGAGCCACCTGCAGGTTGCTCTCCTTCTCCTCCATGAATTCACTCCTACGGACATGGAAAGAGGTCACGAGGACAGGTTCCTAGGGACACAGAGACTGACTGACTCAGTAAAGTCTCACCGAGTGGTTTTCCTGAGACGCCACCTAACAAGCTTGGTCCTGGAAGTCCCTTTCTTCAACTCACGAAGTCAGAACACACACACACACAGTCCAGTCAGGACGAGTGGAGGCCACCGTGCAGTGAGCGCACAGGGCGGGAAACACACTTGCCTGGCCGGTGGGTGAGGACCAACAGGCAACTGCTGTTTCTTTGTGAAAACTCTGACTGTGATAAAAACTCCACAATAGCAGCTATTTAATTATGTAAATGCCCCAGCAAGCAATTATATAAAAAGGTTTAATTTCATCAGCTATTTGGTAGCCATATTACAAATATTCAAAATGCCAAGTTCAACTCCATCTCTGCTGAAAGCAGAGCGCCCTGGGACACATGAAGGCTCAGTCACCTGTGCTCAGTGTGCACAGGCCAGCCAGTGCTCCTGGCGGGAGGTGCAGGCAAACCGAGGCGAGTGTGACGATCCCTGTCCTCAAGGAGCCTCAGTCTAGTAGGGAGGAGACATACTAGACTGTGAGCTCCTCGAGGGCAGGAAAAGTGCTCCGGTCATCTGGCCCAGTGACCAGTGCCAGGCTCGGCAGCCCTTGTGGAACAGAGCTGAACTGGGATGCAGCCCTCTGTGGTAGCACAACAAGTACAGGGACACAGGGATCCGGAGACCCAGGGTGCAGGCTGCATGGCTGAGAGGCCCGGAAGAGCCAGCGTGAGACAGTAGCTGAGAGACAGGGAGGGCCAGGCAGGCGGGGCGTCGGTGGGGGGGGGGGGGGCGGGGGGGTACACCAGGCCAGGGGGGGGCATCTGCCAGGCTATTTGGAAGATAGGGGGATGCCGTCTGGCCATCCTGGAAGTTGGCTTGAGTGTGGCCTGCAGGCCTCTATCTGGACATGGGAGGTGGGTGCCAGTGACCCACTAGGGGTCATTCTGATCAGGGGAGGTCCCTTTCCATGGTGTTGTTTTAGGAAAACCAAGCCAGCTGTGCCAACCAGACAGGAGAGGAGTGCAGAAGAGCTGGCTCAGAGGGTAAGGCAACAGATTTCCTTCTTGGGTAACACAATGCCCAGCTGGCAATTTAAAATGTAGGTTGGAACTTATGAGAAAAGGGCAAGGCCAAAGCTAAAAAGTGGAGAGGCCCAGTCCACGAATGGCCAGATCAAGGGCACATGGAATCTTCAGGAGTACTGAGGGCACAAGGGCAGTTGAGAACAGAGACCTGACCAACGCCCCTGGGAAGGATGTGGTCAGCATGTCAGTCAGTAGGGAGACACCAGGCAGGTGGGGTGATGGAACCCATACTAGAAGGGGAAATTTCAAGGACAGGCTCTGTGAAATTCTGGGGAAAGATCAAGGAGGAACAAAAAAATCTAAGCGAAACATGAAATAAAGCATATTCAAAACCCAGCTACAGTAGCACGGAGGACATAATGAGTATGAGAACTGATTAAGATTGAAGAGTGTCTACTTGAAGAGGACTGAAGAGATGAGGGCGCTGGTGGCCCCATGGGCGAAAGGTGGAGACAGCAAGTGAGGCTGGCCTGACTGCGCTCTTCCCTCAGGATGAGGCTCTATTGAGCAAGGACTGTCTGGTCACCACAAACCCACAGAACCTTGCTCAGAACACACGCATCCAGCAAACACCTGAGGACAGAAAGAAGCATCATACTCCTTCCAACAGGGCTGACCCTCCCAAAGCACTCTCCTGCAAGGATCCTTCTTCCAGTGGCTGAGCCGTCTGAAGGTTGATGAAGCTTCAGGAGTGCTTGGGCACCACCAAAAAGCAAGGGCCAGATGAAGTTGCAGGGTGCCATGAACCCCGATATTTGGAATTAAAAAAAAAAATTCTGTCCCTATCAAAATATTTGGCCCCAATGCAGATTCTAATTTGATTCAGTTCAACAAACATTCATTCATAGTGCCTGGTCCTACAGTCTGTATCGGCTGAAGAAATGAGTGAGATATGGTGATGCTTATCAGTAGCTCTGACTAAAGCTGAGGACACAGACATGAAAACAAGGACCTCCCCAGGGCAGATGGCAGGTAGACCATGCAGATGCTTCTCTGAGGGACTCAGTACACACCTAGTCCCTGTGTGACTGCCAGGGGTCTGGAAGCTACTGGAGGCCTTGGGCCTAACAGTGCCTGGCACAAAGTGGGAACCACAAAAAGGCACCTGAACCAGCAGTGGTGGCAGAAGAGAGGCTACCTCTCTGGGGGACAGGGCTGCATAGGGAAGCACCCTGGATTCTGAGTAGGAGTCTGCTGTTGGCAAGGTGGGGGAGCAGGCAGTGAGCTCCCTGCACTAGTACAGGGAGGCAAAGGGGCCGAGTGGAGGAGGCTGCAGTGACAGCAGGGCCGCAGCGACCATGGGCCACCTAAGCCAGGCCAAGTCAGGAGCTTGGGGAGAGATCTGACCACAGCTGGAACTTCATTAAGATTTGAAGATATTTTTCATTAAAGGCTCTAGCAAGGTACAAAGAAATGCCAATTAAATTTAAAACTAACTGAATTTGCAGAAGAAACAGCCCAGCCTCAGATGTCCTGATAAAATGACCTTAGAATGCTATGACTGCAAAGGAGGAGAAGCAGCAAGGTCTGCCCCCGCCCAAGCCCTCTCCGCCCCACTCCTACCTGAGCTGCGCTTTAAGTTCAGTAAACCTGGGCCGCCTGCTGGGGTCATAGGCCCAGCATTTCGTCATAAGGCTGTAGAGGGTAGGAGGACAATTTGGAGGCATTGGTAATCTTTCCCCATTTTCAATTCGACCGATCACATCATTGTTCTTCACTCCTTGAAAAGGCTTCACACCATGCATCAGAATCTCCCACATACATACACCTGTGAAGTGGGAACGAAAACAGCGCAGTGAGCTCGGCAGGAAGGGCAACCCCATGTCTGGGAGTGGCTTTGTAGCGGGCACCGTGGGGCCAGCTGTGAGATCCAGGCAACACATCAAGCAGAGCAGCATTCATTACCTCCAACATATAGTGAGATCAGTGATAACCACTTGACGGGGTGTGAGTAATGGAGTGCTGAATTATTACAAAGAAAAAGCCATAAAATCCCCTTGTTTTCCTCAGAGGTCTATTTCTCTGAAAATGCTGCACTTGAAAGTGACCCACCAGCTCAGGCACACTCCATGGCTCCAGACGAGAGGCTACCTGCACATCCCCACCCAACTTCAGCCCAGCCTCATTATAACTGCAGCTGCTGCCTTGAGGCCTGAAAAGAAACTCCTCAAGCACAAGTCTGCAGCTTTCAGAGAACTCAGCTTTCCCTCTAAGGCGCACAATGGCTTTGCTGTCTGGGCGACCCTCCAGCCCACCACTCCCTTCCCTTGGCCTGGTTGAGGACTCCCATGGCTATAGCCATCTCACCCAGACCAGGCCGCACCTTAGCAATGACTGCACTCTGCCCCAGGAGGCCAGACTTTCTGTTATCGGCTCAGTGATCCTATAGACCCACCTTTCAAATCAACAAACAGGACAGCTCAACACTGAGGATGCACTGACACGTGACCAAAGGCACCTTCTGCAGCACCACACGATGGCCACCTGCACTCTGGCCGCCTAGGAGGCCGGTGCCTTGGCAGGCCACAGCACACCTTCCCTGGCATCAGCCCTATTTGCTGTCAGACCACCTCCTTTCAGCTTGTTCCTGAAGCAGTTCTAGGAGACCCTCCTGTCCCCAGGACGAGGCTGCTGTCTCAGGTCTGACTCTACCTTGGAATGCACACGGTAGGAATAATGCCCCATGCAGAGGACTTGGGATGCAAAGAAGGAAACTCCCATGCTGGCGTGAGCTAGATTCTCAAACTGAGCCACACATCGGCAACTATTGATAATTCCAGAATCTCTAACAAAAAAAATAATGTCTTGGTGCACTCTTTTAGTAGAAATTATAATCCCATTATCAGTAACAAAATTAAGAGTCACTATTTCTCGAGAACTTACATCCTTTCTTTGAAAATCACATATCATCCTTAATTCTCATAATGCCCTTACCTTTCTCTAAATACTATTTTATTAAATAAAATATGAGATGCCATTAATTATGTGACAAAAAGGGAGAAATACTGCCAGAGTGATTATGATGCAACCCTTTTTCCCACTTGGGGTTATTACTTTATTCCTACCAGAAGAGCCCTTTCAAACTCACCTGGACACAAAGACAACAATGTGAACAAACATGACGCCTGTGAGCAGGCCAGCCCCAAACAGCACAAAGATGCCCCAGGTGACACCATGGACCCCGCCCTGGAAAGGGCAAGATGTGACCACAGGTGCTGGAGGATCTGGGGCATGACCTTCCTAGGGGGATCCTGCAGTCTAGGTTACACAGGTGCTCTTCCTTTGTCTACCTGTGGGCTCCTAAATACCGATCAGGGCACCAAACGGTTGCGGAAAAGCCATAGCATGGAGCCAGGAGAGCTGCATGACCTCAGCCCGCACTCTGAGCTGCTCTGATCTCATGGGACTCTCACACACAGGACTGCCATCAGGTCAGCACGTGAGGGTGACAGACAAGGGATGCCAGGAAGCGGAATGACGCAGGACAGTCGGGAGGCAGTGCCACCCATGGGAGGAGGGGCAAGTCACGCCACAGTCAGGATGAGCTGTCCAGCCACACAGTGCAGGTGGATAAGCCCACATTTACACCAGCGCTGGCAGGCACTGCGACACTCCAGAGAGAAGGACGACCACTGAAGAGGACGGGAGGGGTGGGCCAGACATGGAAGCAGCAGCTGAGGCCAGCAGGCCCCAGAGGAAGGACATCAAGGACAGCGTAGACCTCGGAAAGCAGGGCCACCGAAGGGCCCAGGACACCTGAGTGTTGAGTCTGTCACAGAGAATCATGAGATGGCTGAGGGGAGAGAAGGAAGGAAGGAGACAGACAAGGCTGCTCCCCAGGCAGAAGAGACAGCAGCAGGAGGAGCACAGAATAGCAATGGGACGTGCCACAGAAGGCAGAGCGCCACAAGGTGTGCCCAAGAGCTGTGAGCGGCACATGCTCCTCAACCACAGCCCCACGACCTGTGTGGCCAGGGAGATGCTCAGGCTCAGAAGGCCAGGCAACCCACGCTCGGGAGAGACAGTGCAAGGCCTGTTTTGCCAAGCACATGAGGCACAATTATTAAAAATATACAAAACTCCGAGAAATACTCACCAAACATCCACACGTCACTAGCTGAGGTAAAACGTCGAAAATTGATTGACTCTGGAGCCATCCATTTAATAGGCAATTTTCCTTTGGAAGCTAGAAGATTAATTTTAGAAAATAAATTTTCCCTGCAATCTGCTTGAGAACCTAGCAGAGCTGAGATTTTCACTATCAAATATAAAGCTTCATGGGGCTAGGATTGTGGCTCAGAGGTAGACTGCTTGCCTAGCATGGGCGGGATCTGGATTCGATCCTCAGTACCACATAAAAATAAAGGCCTTGTGTTGTGTCCATCTACACCTAAAAAAATAAATATTAAAAAAAAGTAATAAAAAAAATAAAACTTCAAATATCCCACCTGACTCTTTAGAGAGCAATGTTCTGCTTCCTCGATGTCCTGAGTAGTTAGACTAGGGTAGGAACATAGACCCTGGGGTCCCTCCCACTGTGGTGAGGCAGGGGCAGGGAGGAGAGTGAGTGGCAGGGCTTCGATGCTCACCAGGACACACCCACACGTGTAAGACGGGTGGGTCCTGCTAGTGCTTACCGCACACTTCACTCTCGTGGCCATGCATATGGGGCCAGTACTCCACACATATGTGATGTCTCACAAAGATCACAACCTGAAGCCCTAAGACTACTCATCAGGAGACCTTCTGGAGGCTGCCCCACTAATAGGTGGCTCGGTTCTGCAGAGCGCCCTATGGACCCAGACTTCTGGATAGATAGGAGGGAGAATGCCAATGTGCCTACTGGGGAGACTTGAAATGTTTGCTGCTCCATGCATGTCTTTGAATGACTACAAAAGCACCTTGCGTACAAGTCTTATGGGTTACAAATTGTAGCAAATAAGTAAATACACAAATATGGCCTCTATCCTCCATTTGCATGTGAAGAGTGAGGGGCCTGGAGCTAAAGGCTCTGGGACAGCCCAGATCAACCCTGGGAGAGGCCAGGAAGCTTCCCTCCTGCAGGCAAGGTACACCATCCAGTACCATCCTTCAGCTGCTGGGCTTCCAGAGGAGCCAAAGGAGACAGGCTACAAGGTGGGAACAGGTACCTCAAATATGGCATGGAGTGAGCAGAGACAGACCAGGGTTGGGAGGAGTGGGAGGGTGGATGGTGACCAGGAACAGGCACAGACACCAAGGGCCTACGCAGGGGCCTTTGGATCCTTAGAACCCTGAGAAAAAGGAGTAGTTTGGAGAAGTCTTAATACTTAGGGGTTCTTTTTCCATTATCCAAAAATATCTACACTCATTGATCATTCTGAGATGATATCTGCATGAATTACCAACTGCTCATTTTTATTTTTTAAAGTAGTTTTGAAATTGTAGATGGACACAATACCTTTGTTTAATTAATCAATTTATTTTTCATGTGGTGCTGAGGATTGAACCCAGTGCCTCACATGTGCCAGGCAAGTTCTCTACCACTGAGCCACAACCCCAGCTCCCCAACTGCCCATTTTAAATGCTGTTAAAGGATGTGAAATTTTGGTATTTGTATTAATTTAGAATTTAGCTCTTTATTGGAATTCTAGGACTTGGACTAGTTAATATTTGAGCTAAATATGAGATATAGTTCAAAATTTAAAAAACTGATTTTTTTTAAAAAGTTAAATGACTAAATAACAAAAACAAACTTTTTTCTCAAATATCAAAAGATCATAGGTTAGTAGTCACAGGCACAGAACACAGAAAGGGTGTGGAAGAGAGTTGTCAGGAAGCTATCTGTCTGTTGCCGAAGAACCCGGGCCTCGCATGCTAGCCAAGCACTCTACCACTGAGCCAACTGGATTGAAATTTTGGGCCAATCAAATAAAAATGCAGTAACACGAGTGCATGTGCTAAGTCTTCACTTCTCTGGGATCAGTGCCCAGGAGTCCAACCACAGTGCTGAATGATGGTCACAGTTTTATTCACTGAAGGCCTGCACACGCTCCTGCGTGGCTCTAATGTTCTACATCCCCCTGAGGACCTTATTAGTGGCTGAGCTTCTCTGAATCGCTACCACCAGGTATGGGCAGTATTTGTTGTAATGATTCTGACGATGTGCAGTGTTCTCTCCCTCTGGTCTTAATCTGCATTTTCCTGATGGTTAAAGATACTGAACAAGGTCAAGGTTCATTTGCCACCTTATGTTCTCTTCAGCGAAGGTCTTCCTTTCTTTTGTTCATCTCCCAAGTACCTTCTTCATCTATCTTCCTGCTAAGGAAGTTCCTCATGTGTGTTTGGTAAATACGTTCTCCTACCCTGTACTTTGACTTTTCATTCTCTTAACAGTCTTCGGCAGAATAAAAATTACAAATTCTAATGTGGTCCAATTTATCAATTTTTCTTCCTTTTGGTATCAAGTTAAAGGATTCTCTAGATTTATATTTTTCTTCTAAAGGTTCTATGGTTTTATGTTTTATAAGCCCATGATCCATTTTGGATCACTCTGGACATCCTTCTCCTCTAGCACTGTTTATGGACAGGGCCATCCTTTCTTCCTCCACCAAATCCATCTGAAGCCCAAGGAAAGCACACTGGAAAATACCTTCTTATTTATTTATTTTAAAAATATTGTGTAATTGTCAATGGATCTTTATTTTATTTATTTATATGTGGTGCTGAGAACCGAACCTAGTGCCTCACACATGCTAGGCAAGCGCTCTACCACTGAGCCACAACCCCAGCCCCTGGAAAATACCTTTTTAAAGAAATATAAATACATTAAAGATTTGCAGCTTATTTTTAGTTATTGCTTTAGTTTCTTACCTTTGTAATAAGTACTGTCTTCCATGTACCGAGATAATCCGAAGTCTCCTAATTTTACACAATCATTTGAGGATACCAGGACATTTCGAGCAGCAATGTCCCTGACAAGGAAAATTTGGGACAATAAATTTTAACACAATGCAAACAAACCTATAAACTCATCTATACTATATGAACATATTTTCATAGGTACACTGTGAAAGACAGCTTATAGATAATGCAAATAGATTTGTTATAAGCTAAAGATGATGATTTTACTTCACATGTATTCCTTTTGGTAGATATTTACTCATGAATATGCTGATACCTATCTTAAATAATGGAAAAACATTCTCAAATGATGAAAATGCTTATTAACTTTTCATAAAATTCTATCATTATCTGCAATAACTGACAGACATGCTCAAACGGGGGTCTGTAACTTCACCAGTACTAAAGAGATCTTGTTAAATCAAGTAAAAGTCATCTTCTGAGCACAAGACTTTTGAGTGCTTTTGTGGATACAGCTTGTTTCAAAGCTGGACAACAACACAGTAACTGGTGTGACCCTTGGCAGATAGTTCTTAAGGACTTTCACTGGTAATCAAACTGGAGCCACAGATTATAAACAGAAATTCCAGAGAAGGGCAACAGATGTCATGGGTAACGCTGACATCTGGATAATAATAATAATTAATGGAGTTAATTATTTCGGGGACTCTTTCCACATATCCCCTGCTTCGTGTCAAGTACACATTCTTGACTATATGTGTGGAAGGAATAAATGTCCTGAAAGCATCCAAGAAAAGCCTTTCACCATGTGTTGCCAAGCCAGGCACTTCCCTCTGTAGGACACAACCCAACAGGCTATGCAACGGATCTGAGAGGTATGAAAGGTTCTGGGGCACATGGAGCATGGCTCCTCCCCATACTTGGCCTGCAGTTCCACCCACTCAAGGCACTTGGTAGCTTCAGGATTGTGTCTCACCTGTGTACAAATCTTTTGCTCTCCAGATACGCCAGTGCGGTACTGAGCTGATAGGCATATAAGATCAGAGATGCCAGATCCAAGCTGTATTTCCTTACTTGCAAAAATGACCTCAGCTTTGGGAACAACAAGGTAAAAAAGAGAGAGAATAAAACTCAGCAGCATAAAACCTACACTCAACAGCATTGCACCAACGTTCCAAACACATATGAATACTATGAAATGGCTTCACTTTTCCCCTTATACAAAAAAAGTAACGAATGAAACATTTTAACTCAGAAATTGTAGTTAATCATTATTTCAATCCTATTGTAAAATTAGAATCTTTATGCCTATATATGAATTCCAAAAAAATTATAGAAGACAAGCTTCAAAACAATAATAGAATCACAAAATAAAGAACTGCTAATAACAACAGGGACCCCAAAGATCTAGCTACTGTTCAAATGAACCTAACATACAAACACAGCTTATTCACCGCCACTGCAAAACTCAGTGTGGCCCAGGCGGGTGTGCCATGCAGTGGGGAGGACGGGATGGTAAGGGTGCAGTGGTCAGGTGTTGGGTGCTCACCCCAGGGGCTCACTGGTCTCAAGACTAGACTGACAGAGTAATTCAGCTACATACTAACATGGGAAAGAAAGGCACACGGCTTTATTAATACTCTAGAAAATTGGCAAATAAAAGACAAATATTTAGCAAGAGGCTCTTAAGTCAGAAAAATGAACAAACTCTCCAAAAGCCAAAGCAGAAAAAAAACAGGGGGGAGAATCTACACAAACACTCCATTTGTCTTGGAAGCACAGGCAGAGGAAGAAGATGGGCTGAGCTGATAGAAACAGTGCTCCAGCCTGGCCAGACTCAGCAGCTGGGGTGGGGCTTGAGAGCTTGTGTTTCCAGCAAGTTTCCAGGTGCTCTGACTAAGGTTTCAGTAACCTGGAGAACGTCAAAGAGGGCTGCTGACACTTTTGTTACTCACATTTTTCAAAGAAACTGTGACTAATGGCAGCTGGTCTAAAAGACACTGCAAAGTGAATTCTCAACACTTTGTGAATTCTCAACTCAAAGTGAATTCTCTTGACACTTTGGATTTACCTAAATTCAGCATTAATTTACCCAAGCTCTATTAACAATGTTTCTTCCATCTTCAAATCATTGGGCTAGTTCTTCAGGCAATAGCAACAGAGAGAAACAGAACCCTTTCGTTGTGTGTTGTTACCAGTTCTGATAAAATATCTGGATGCAACAGCTGCCAGGATTATCTGGGAATTTAGTTGCAAAGTTTCTTTTTTTCTTGAGACAGAATCTCCCTACATTGCCCAGGCTGACCTGGAACTCTTGGACTCAAGAGATTGGCCCACCTCAGCGTCCTGAGCAGCTGGGAGTATGGCGTGTGCCATTGTGCCTGGCTCAGTGATGAAGATACCCACACTAACATTCTCTGGACGGAAACCACACGTGATCCTGTATGAGAACTCTCCTGAAAATCTAGGATGTAATCTCTCGACTCCCCTTTTCAGAAGCAAAGGATGTCATGCCCAAATTGCTGGCTGACTGTGAAGCAGCAGACTACTGAGCAGCCAGCCCAGGCAGGCACAGAGCTCACCATACCTCTCCCAGTGTGCACAGCTCCATGATTATCCACACGGGGTTCTCTGTGATGACACCAATCAACTTCACAATGTGAGGATGGTCAAACTGACGCATTGTTACTAAGGAAAAAAGTTGTTGTCTACAGTTATTCTTTTGAAAACTTTAATTTTTCTTGAAGACTAGCCCACTGAAGGCAAATACTAACGGTGTGGGAACTCAGAGCTCAATGTCACAGGGTGCTCCTGCTTCTGAGTGGGCGTGCACTGGCATGTGCTTCTGTGTGCCGCAGTCTGGCTGGGCACAAAATCACGAGCCACTCAAGCAGGAACAAACTTTATTTCCAAAACTCCCACGAACGCCACGCACGCAGCCTTCTCCCAGGACCCCACACCAACCGGAAATCCCTCCTCCGGAAATCCTTCCTACCGCACTTCCCCAACCAATGGGAACTCTCCAGGAGTCCCCAGGAGAGCTCCAAAGTAGCAGGCTGAGGCAGACAGCAGGGGTCTAATATCCAATTGAATACACATCTTAACATAACCATTGTCATCTCAATGGCTTGCTGGCGTCACCTTTCAACCAAAAATGCCATGCTTCATTCCTACTCGGCTATGGCTCTCAGCATCTGTGCTTGCGTATCTGTGGCATAAGATACTCACTGTGGCAAATTTGTGCCATGGGAGAACAGAAATGGATAAATGGCCAAGAAAACCCATTCTTTTCCTCTAGGACAAAGCTGACATAGGCTTCCCAGGTTTTTCTCTGGACATCTGATAAAGTGGGAACGTGCACTTCACTTAGTTGGGCAACATGCTCCTGGTAAAAGCAACCTGACTGGTACACTGGGAGGAGAGCAACGAGGACTGGGAAGCCACTGTCTGTGTGGAGACCTTGCTGACTGGGCATGCTTCTTGCAAGGCCTGAAGCCATGCCTGTGGGGCTGTCACAGGGATTTCTAGTTGGTACACAGGGGTTGCTGCATCCAGCATTGTGGTCTGACCCTTGCATGTGACTAGCTGCTCTCATGGCTCTAAGGAAGGCATGTCCTGGACAGACAGCTGTGAGGGCCTTCGGGTCAACTAACCTGCTCTAGTTCTGGTGCTGTGCTGCTCTACTGCAGCCCCTAAGGTCTGTCCACCTGCCTGGGCCAAGATGACCACCAGAGCCTACACACACACACAAAGGTAAACCAACTCGTGGGCAAGTGCTCGTTCATAATTTCTAAAAGTCACTTGCACTGTGTGCTAGGATTAGCAAGACAGATGATCTGCACAGAACTACACGATTGCAAAACAACTCAAAGTAACTTCAAGGTGACCTAGTCCAGTGGCAATTAAAACACTTGGATTTCACAGACTATTAAAATAATAAATAAATAAATAAAGTCCAAGATATTTTGAGGCTAAGTAAAGACATTATGATAATCGCAGCAGTAATTTTCCTTTAATATTACCAACATGTTATGAAACAACTGGTGTCTGAATGTTGTCAGGAATGGGCCCCCATATACTAGTGAGTATTTTACAATTCCTAAGTTGTAGGAACTGGTAAGAATGTACAAAATTCTTGTCCATAAAAATGCAACTCAGTTCTGTGGGGGAAGTAAAATTAAATCTGCATGTATTTAAAAAAAAATCACCTCAGAGGTTCTTACTCTCTATAGACACAGGGTTTTGGGAATTCTCTTGAACCAGCTGTGACATCTGGTTGGTTCCCTATTGACTCCAGTGCTTTCTGTTCCTTTTTTCCTGTCTCTGGTTAGGGAAATGATACAACCATGTTCAAGGAACAGTCCCTGCAAAACCCGGAGGCTGCACTCCAGACCAGCTGGCAAGCATCTCTCAGGACGTTCTCAAGCCATCATCCGATTGGCATAAGTGTGGAGCCACAAGGCCCAGAGGCAGGCATGCCTGGAGTTGGGTCCCAGCTGCCCATGGATACAGCAGGTCCTGTTGACACACCCAGAGTTTCTTGCCAAGTTGCCTCACCTTCACACAATATGACTCAATCCCTGGTGGATACCCCCACCTTCAACTACCAAATTTTCCACATATTTCAAGAATAAGACCTGGCAGCTTTGGTTTTGTTTAACATACAAATGCCCAGTACAAAATTCCAAGTGTATCATTAAATTTACTCTTGTCAGATTGAGGTCACTGTGTGAATACTCTGTCATCTTTAAATGAACATTTAAGTACAAAATGTATTTACACTTATTTTCAATTTACTGTTAGTAACTATCGCTTTTGGTGCGATCTTCACATATAATTAAAGACTTTTGTGTCTCCTCTGATGTAATTACTAAAATATTAACCAAAAAGAGCTGAGGGCACAGGAGTGTCCTGTACCAAGGCACAAAGGGAAAGTGTATCTTCTACCCTGACATGTAAAACACCATGTTTACTGGGGAAAATCTGCAGATATGTACCTCTTCAAATCCAGATATTAATTTGTAAAGCAAAATAGTAAACATAGTTATCTCATAAAAGTTACAACATATTTTTCCTTACTTCTTGGAGTTCACAGATAGAAAGTCAAATGAAGTTACACAGAAATTTCTAGACACTTACAGGCTTCTTGGAGGAATTTCTCTCTCACGCTGTCCGAAGTACAGTTTTTACATGTTTTAATTGCGACAGCCAAAGCTGGATTCTCCTGTGTTAGGGAGATCACAGAATCACATAACATGTAGGAAAGTTCTCTATCAACAGGTAAATTCATGAAAAGTTGTTGTTTTGCAACTATGTGGATCTGGACCACACAGAATTGGCATCACAGGATCTTTTTTTTTTTTTTTAATATTTATTTATTTATTTTTAGTTTTCAGCGGACACAACATCTTTGTATGTGGTGCTGAGGATCGAACCCGGGCCGCACACATGCCAGGCGAGCACACTACCGCTTGAGCCACATCCCCAGCCCCGATCACAGGATCTTAAAGAATGAGAGAAATACTTAAAACAAAAATGCTGTGCAGAATCCTCTGAGCTAAATGGACACACATGAGCCGCTGAAGACGATTCACTCTTCAACATGTTTGGAGTGTCTCCAGCAGCAGGTGCTGTTCTAGGCAAGAGGTGCCTGTGGACAGCAGAGGCAGTGATCCCTGCTCTTATCCAGCTTACCTCCCAGGGAAGAACTGACCGGAAACAGCACGTCATTTGCCAAAGGGGAGTGAGGACATGGAGGTGTTGTGGTGGCTATGCAGGAGGAGGCTCCTGGGGCAGATGGGAGGAGAGTGAAGACCAGAAGGAAGCAAGGTGCCAGCCTCAAAGGGCAGGAAGTTACACCTGGCAGAGGCTGGGTGCACATAGCAAACTCAAGAGACCCACCTGGGCGTGAGGCTGGAGCTGGGCCTGAGTGGAGACCCGATTAGAGGGGGCCTCCCAGGCCAACAGGGAGCAGTGGTTTTCACTGAGTGAGACGGGGAGCCAGGGCAGGGTGTGGGCAGAGGAAGGAGCACTCTGGCTGAGCTGCTGAGGAATGGCTGCTGGGAAGCAAACTTAGGCACAGGAATCCCATACGTGGAGGTCACAGTAAGTCAAAGGGTTGGGGGACAGATGATAGTGGCTTGGGTAAATGTGGCCGCAATGGAGGAACATAGAGGGCTGAACCTCTGGAAGGGCTCTGAAGGCAGGACAAAGCTGGCTCTGGGTGGATGCAGTAACACAGAGGGAAGCTCTTGTTTTTGGCCAGAGAAATAAGCAAGATGGAAGGGGAAGACCAAAAATTCAGCTTTGGCTGTGATGAGCTTGAGACGTCAGTAAGATACCAAGGCACCCAGGTGCAATGGAGTTCAGGTGGAAGCCTGGCTGGAGACAGGCATCTGGAAGTAGCTCAGTTCATGGGACTATAGTCATCATGGGGACACGGGTCCAAGCTCTACAAACTGAACAAGTGCCAGGCCAGTGGTGCATGCCTGTAACCCCAGAGATTAGGAAGGCTGAGGCAGGAGGAATTCGAGTTTAAGGCCAGCCTCAGCAACTTAGCAAGGTCCTGTCTCTAAATAAAACATAAAATGGGCTGGGAATGTGGTTCATTGTTAAGCACTCTGGGCTCAATTCCTGGTAACAAAAACAAAACAAAACAAAAACAAACAAACAAACAAAAAATGAGAAGTTAGGTAGAAGAGAAAATAGCAAAGGAAACAGGAAGGTGTGACCACAGGGTAGGAAAAAAACAAGAAAATGTGTTTTCCTAGGAGCCAAAAAGTTTGTCTTTTCTTCAAGATTAAAAGATAGAACTTAAGAAATGCAAGAAACATGATACCAGAAATGACCTGCCACTTGCAACAAATCAAGAGTCTGGACAGCATCTGAGTGTGCTCATCTCACGCTGGGCTTGAGGCTCCTTTGCCAGAACACCTGTTTACCTCACTTCACACAGGTACTTTAGCAAAGTGCCTCACATTCTGTTAAAGAAGCAGAAAAGGGGAGGAAGGGAATAGGGGAGGGGACCAAAGAGGAGCTGGGGTATTTGTGAAGGTTTGGCAATGCTGAATCACGTCTCCATCCTTTCTGGGAATCCTCCAGAGCCTACTGGGGAAATGCAGCTGCATCAGCCAGAGACACCCGGGGTGGGGGTCGGGGCGATGCTGTCCAGAGTCCTCCTTACTCCCTGCACCTCTCTTCTCCCCGTCTAGCTTCTCCATGGCTCTTGCATGTCCTGGCTTTATATAAGAAGGTTCTTTGGGGTTGATGGATGTTATCTAACTCTTAAAGCAAGTGACAGATGGCACCCAGGACAGGGATCCTGTAGGTGAGTCAATGGAGCCTGGAGGCATGGAGGCTGTCCATGGTCATGCTGCCAGCAGAGGTAGGTTCTTTGGGCCCTTCATTGACAGTGAATTAGGGTAAAACTTATCTGTGTGAGGAACTCAAGTACAGGTTGGCCTCAGAGTAGCACCCAGTTCCACCTCCCTCTTGGCCCAGATTCAACACTGAGCCCACCTACTCCCTGTTTCCTTTGGAGGTGGAAACGCTGTGCTATACCATGAGGGTGAACCTCATGTGGCCATTTGACCGGGCCATAAGGTGTCCAGATATCTGGTCCAACATTATTCCAGACATTTCTGTGAGTCTAACATGCAAGTCAGCAAGCTACCTAAAGTAAACTGCCCTCAGTGACATGGACCCTCCAGGAGGAAGAGATGCTGCCTGGTAGCTGCCAGGCTGGGACACTGGTCCATTTCCTGTTTTCAGATCTGGACTGCCCTCTACTCTCTCAGCCTTTGGGTCTTGACTGGACCACACCACTGGCCGTCTTATATCTCTGGCTTGCCGAGTGCAGATCACAGGACTCATGGGCTCCCATGACTGTGTGAATCAACTGTTTACGATAAGTCTCTTGTGGCTCAGATCCCATTGGTTCTGCCTCTCTGGAGAACACTGTCAGAGCTGTGTCTTCCACAGTCTCCTCCATCTCACTTAAGGACTCATACAGATGCTTAAGGCAGACAGCCTGAGCTATTGTGACTCTTCTGTTCCATGCCCACGGGATCCTCTAAGCAAGGAGCAGGGCTCACTGCACCTACTTGCACCACCAGCACCTCAGGGGAGCAGATGTTGCTGCCTCACTACCACCCACTCTCCACATAGCAGGGACAGGTTTGAAAACGGCCATGGGATCATCTCACAAAGTCCTACCCTGTACCATGGGTCCCAGCCCCCTTCCACCAGCATCTCCTGCCCAGCGTCATCTGTATGCTTTTACACTCTTCTGCTGCAACACAGAAACATCTTTGACATCTTGGGAGTCCTGGTGTTTTTCTGGGGCTAGGATTCATTCAATAAATATTAAGTAAACACTACACTGAGAATATAAAAAAAATTCTCTATTATTTTTGCAGCTAAAATCGACTTATTTTAAAGTCCACCATTAGCTCTGTGACCCTGGTGAGACATTGAGCCTGAAACTTTGCAATGCATCTGTGTCAGGAACCATAGGGGTGGGAGGAAGCTGGAGTTCACCTGGGTTAGTAACTGGAGTCCTCTTGCCACATGGGCATTAGAGCCAGGCCTAAGTTCAGGCCTTTTCACCAAGTTTAGATCCAATGCTCTTCTACTGTGTTTTGTCTCAAAAGTAGAGTAAGGAGAATAAGGAAGATAAATATGCATAGAGTTTAAAAAAAAAATGTCTACAAGTTTTTGGTTATGAAAGTACCATTCCCTGGTGTGTGTGTGTGTGTGTGTGTGTGTGTGTGTGTGTGTAGTGAGTTTAACAAATGGGCAGACATGGAAGGAAGGGCAACAGCAGGGCAATGAGCTTCAAGAAAGACAATGTGAACATCCAGAGGAACCAGGGACTTCTGAAGACAAAGAGGTGATTTACACTTGACAGTCAAAATTAGCACATATTTTGGGGGGTCGTAAGAGACTTACTGGACTCATGTACACGCCTTGATGCACATCTCCAAACTGGCCTTCTCCAATACAGCGTCCGAGTTCTATTCTTTCTCTTTGAATCTCATAGTCCCTAGCTGTAAAACACGACCTGTGTCAATATGTAATTAGGTGCAATACTTTAAATGTAGACACAACACTTGGCACATAGTTTCATCATGAGCAGAAACTTCATCTGTGGCACATGGATATACAGAGGTGCTTTCAACTGAGTGGAATTCTCTTAAACAATACTTTAAAAAGAACTTCTATTCAGTTATGGTATTGGATGTATATAAAAATGAGTTTTATTAAAGGCAGATTTTTTTCCAACCTAGGAGTCTTTAAGTATCTGATTTATTTGTTATCTGTTTCATAGTTCCCTAAATAATTGCTCTAAGTATTACAGTGTACGCTTCATTAATAAGAGCTATTAGTTTAGGTATTAATGTAGGAAGTCTAGAAAAACACAATTATTTAAAGCAATTATTTTGCAAATAACTAAAGTTTATAAACACAGGGGCACTATAAAATTGTTAAACTTTATGCTTTGAAAGTTTAAGAGCTTTCCACTTCATTATAGTCTTATCTATAGATTATCATGGAGCTAAGAGAGTTTAAAGAGGTAGTTTCTAAAAAAACAATTTCAAAATCAGATGACATGGAATCAAGGCTGAATATATCAGCATAAACTTGAGAGTATGTGCCTTAAATATGAGTTATATAAGATCAGTGTCTTGGCAGGCTGTTGAGGCACACAGAAAGAAAACACCCTCTAGGAACAGAATAGATTGAATTTCAATTCAATTACTCACTTGGTCCTTTGATTTATTTCCCATAAGAAATTCATCCAAATCAGGGCTGTATATATTCCATTAGTGTAATCACTAATAGAACAAATCAATAGCCAAATGTCTTAAGACCTTCCCCTGGGAGATCAAATTGTATAAATCAATTGTATATAAACATTGAACCAACATTTTAGATAGTTGTTTTCCTCTTTAAAATCAATTTAGCTAGTAATTCCATTGATTTAACAGAATGAGTAAACCAATGATAAATAGTTTAAAATAAGTTAACTGAAAACTGAAATGTCCCGTATCATTCCACGGTTGCAATTGCAAGCAAATGCAGTTATTTCAAAGGAATCCTGTTACCTTCATCTATTCCATAGTTTTCTGTATTGCAATTAAGAGAGAAAAAAATTGAAGACCTTGCTTAGAAATAACTAATAGCAATTAGGTTAACAATAAAAACTTGGAGAGTATATTTCAATAATATTCACTTCATTATTTTAAACTCAACTATGAATAAAAAAAAGAGATCTAAACAAGTAAAAACTTTATATCTCTGAGTTACCTTGATGTTTTTAACGTAATGTCTTTAAATCTCTATCTCATAAATTCCCATTTTTCAATTCATTTTTTGTGAGGTTTGGGTAAAAGGTAGCCATGTTAGGAATTTACTGTTAAACTATAAATAATAAGTAAATAAATTATATATATAAATGTGAATTCTCTGTAGGAATGTACAAATGACTAAATGGTCAATCAAAACACTATCCTTAATCTTAAAAAAACATTTTCCCAAATTGCCATTGGCTGTTAAAAAATATACACTAATTTTCAGCTCTTGCCTTGGTTTTAATTACTCTGATAAAACAACCCCCCACCCTCCGTACTGGGGATTGAACCCAGAGGTACTAAATCTCACCCCCACCCCGCCCCTGTGGAGGCTGGCCTTGAACTTGTGACCCTCCTACTTTAGCCTCCAGGGTCACTGGGATTTCAGGTGTAGGCCACCATGCCTGTTGTGACTGGTGACTTTTGGCAGGCCAGTGTGGCCTGCCCAGGAAAATATCTGCCTTAGAGGCCTACTTATTTCTCTTTATTTTTGTAATGTTTCCTCATTGCATATACAACTCAAATGAGAATACTTTAAACAATATTTATAAAACAGGATAAAGAAATTAAAATACTTAGTTCTACTGATATTGGAGCATTTGGATTTCAGGTAAAGCTGCTGAGGCTGCCTTAAGAGGTGGGATTAAATTTTAAATTTTTTTCCCTTGTTTTTTACAAACATAAAATTTCAAGGACTTATCCAATTCAAGAGCTGGGGACAATATTCTCCAAGGCAAGAGCTGGGGCATCTACAGATTCCCCTCTGTACAGACAAAGAGGAGAGCACCTTGCCACTTCCAGGTGGCAGGAGCTCATCCAGGGGTTCCGTGTCCCACATAGACACCACAGAGGGTATGGACTAAAGGCTGGAAGCTGCTGGCACTGCTCAGTCAACCACACACAGCAAGGCATGATTTCAAGGGGAAATATATATGTGTGTACTAAACCTTTAAAGAATACTAATTATCTACAGAGAGTAAGTACTCTAATAAATGTTGCTAAACAGCAAGAAAACAAGACTACAAAAATACTCTATCTAAACAACATTAATTATTTCATTTTAGGCTTCTGGTCTTATAGGAGTGCATATATAGAATTTGTAAGGTTGAAAAGAACACTTCTGTTAAGCACACAATAAAGTTTTCAAAGGACAATCTAAAACCTATAGGCACCTATAGGTTATATACCCTATAACCATGAGGCACTGTCTGTCAACCTCAGCAAATACAGAGAGAAGAGCACTTACTTGAGGGCATGGTGTAAGTATCTTCTTCATCGATTATCTCGGCATAGTCGTCTGTCTCTGTGCAAAAGGAAAACAGATATGTTGGCAGAAGTTAAAGACTTGACCTCTTGGCCTTTGATACAATTTAAAAAGGCAAAACGATCTGTCTACACCCTCTACCATGCTGAAATATTCTTAAAATACTCAAATTTTGCTCACAAATGAGTCATTTATGGAAATAAAAGTGACATCACTGTCACTGTTAATAATACAGACTTGTTTCTCAGACAGCAAACAGGCTAACACAGAAAGCCCTTGTTTAAAAAAAAAGACAAGAGATGATTGATCAATGATCCAAATCAACCAACCTGTGCTGGCTGCTGAACTTCCCTCTACATACCATGTACATGCTTAGAACCATGCTTGTGGCTACTGGAGTCTCCCAAATAAGACTGGCCCCTCCAGAGACCAGGAAGTTTTGATTTTATTAATGACAAGACTCAACAGCATATTCTGAAACTTTTCTTTGAGGGAATAAATGCTAGCCTGAGTTTTGTGGGGGGAACTGGGCTGACTTATTTCATTTGTTCCGGATTGAAAAACGCAGGGATTTATCTTCTGTAGCTTTTGCGCTCACATATTTCAAGAAGTATGTCAATGTCAAAAAAGCTAAAAGACGGCTGGGGTTATGGCTCAGTGGTAGAGCACTTGCCTCACATATGTAAGGCACTGTGTCTGATCCTCAGTACCACATTTAAAAAAACAAAGATATTGTGTCTCCATGTATAACTAAAAAAATATTTAAAAATAAAAATAAATACAGCTAAAAGAGCCAGATGTGGTGATGCACACCTGTAATCCCAGAGACTCAAGAAGCTGAGGCAGGAGGATAGCAAGTTCAAAGCCAGTTTCAGCAACTTGGTGAAGCTCTAAGTAAATCAGTGAGATTCTATCTCTAAATAAAATACAGAAAGGGGCTGGGGATGTGGCTCAGTGATTAAGCACCCCTGGATTCACTCCCAGTATCAAAAGAGGAAAAAAAAAAGAAAGAAAGAAAAAAGGAAGGAAGGAAGGAAGGAAGGAAGGAAGGAAGGAAGGAAGGAAGGAAGGAAGGAAGGAAGGAAGGAAATATGTTAAAATGAGTTATTTTTTGAGACAAAGTCAAGGAGTTCCAATGTTTCCACCGACTCCTTCCTATAAAGCAGGATTTTAAAAACCTACCACTGCACTAATGGGGACATTTCAAAGCACTCATCTAGGGGATAGCCATCACTCCAACAGTACTGTGCTAAAACACATTACTCTCCTCCTTTTGGAAAAACAGAACCCTTTGCTGTTTTTAGTGTCCCTCCTGGAGGGACACTAAGCTCTAATTTTTTTAAAATTGTAGATAAACACAATACATTTATTTTTATGTGGTGCTAAGGATCGAACCCAGGGCCTCAAACATGCTAGGCAAGTACTCTAACACTGAGCCACAGCCCAGCCCCACTAAGTTCTCTCGAAAGAGACCTGAGGGATGACTGTAGGGCCTGAGAAGCCAGCACCTCCTGCTGCCTGTGCTGCCCTCAATACTTCACTCAGCTGCAGAACCATGAAAGCTGAGCTGGAGCCTGCAACTGGAAGAATTTAGTCCTCAATGTGTATCATCATTAAAATGACTATGAAAATTCTGGCTGGCAGAGTGTAATGTTAATAGATCAATTCTCTTTTAGACATTTATCATATGTAAACGATTATGGAGAGGTGAATATTATGTATTATTCTTTTATGTTTATTAAGTAATGCTACTTTGGGGATTCAAGAAAAAAAATTTAATCTATTCCAAACCTTCTATTCTTTCATTTCCATATTTCTCCCCCATCAACACTCATTTCTCCCCTTTTATGGCAGTGCTGGCTTGAAACCCAGGGCCTCACACATGCTAGACAAGCCTCTAACACTGGTGCTACACCTGAGCCCTTTGATTATTTTTATTTTGAGACAGGGTCCTGCTAAATTGCCTAAGCTGGCCTTGAACTGCCTCAGCCTCCCGAATTGCTGGGATGACAGGCATGCACCACCAGGTCTGGCCCATCTTTTCTCCTCCTTCTCCTGTTCTCAAGAGAATATGAAGAACAGTAAACTGGCAAACTGTAGGCCTGCAGCCTTGCTCCTGTGTAAGATGGTTTATCAAAAGACCTTGTGGGAAAAGATCTGGAGCTGCAGAGGGAACTGCTCAGGTACCTGTAACAATCAGGACTAAGAGGGGAAGAATCTACTGCAAGAGCCGCGATGATAGAGGCAACACAAGCCCCAGATGAGTACCTGCTCATCACTGTCTCTTTTCATCCTGTAATTTAGCAGGCTCAACTTCCTGACAATGCCCCCAGAAAATGAACGCCACCCAAGGCTGCCTTTCCACAGACAGCAGCCCCAGGTCCCTCCCTGCCTTCTTTCATGCAGAATGGTATGTGCCTCTGGCTGGCCCCGGTGGGGCGGGTATTGGGGGAGCTGCTCAGACTCCCACGTCTACTGTCCTTCCCCAGGGGCCTGGTCCCCGACTGTTCAAGGCTCTACAACGCTGCCCTCATTCTCAGTCTGACTCAGCAGATGCTGCAGACTCCATGGGAGCCTGGGAAGACTAGGCGTGTGCTGCCTGGAGAAGAGTATGAGGCTAGTAAGCACAGCAATAGCCACAGCCCACCTGAGGCTACCACCTGCTAAAGCTCATCTTGGCTCAGAGCCAATTCTGGTTTCAGCCAAGTGCCCCATCTATTCAGAGACCTCTCCCCAAACTAATTTGCCCTATCCCCATGTTCTTGATCATGTTCCTTGACTTACTGTCCTCTGACTTTTAAACATTTTTTTCCTTGTAACTGGTCTGTATGGCTCTTGGGAACAGTGTGCCCCTGGAGCAGAGCCTTTGTGCATCTTATTTACCTGTGTTCTCAGCATGGAAAACAGTGAATAGCTCAGAGCAGGTGCTCAGGAGATACAGCTTCTCAAGAAAATGAGTGCACTGATAGACTGAGTGGGTGGCACATCCCCAGAACAAGGGACAAGGCACAGTGCACATGTGATCGCTTGAGAGTTGCTTCCTGACTATGAGTCAGGTATGCTCTCATGTGCAGAGCGAAAGCACAGTGCCCGTGCCAGGTTGTCGTGAGGACTGTAGGGGGTGAGCATGAAGCTGAGGTGTGCCCTGTACCCACAGACTGCCAAGGAGGAACTGCTCCTCTTGTGGCTGTCTTTGTTCCTGTGAAGCTTCTGAGAGGGGCTGGCAGGTTTGTGTGATGACCCTTCCAGTCAGTCTTAGTGTGGCTCAAGTACCTTTGAGGACTGTCTCACAAACCTCAAGCAGAGGTTCCACCCTTGAAATAACTCTGAAAATTTTTGAAGAGTGATGAGACTACTACAGGAAATCTCTGGGGAACTCACTGGCCCCCTGGGAATTAGCCACAATACTTGGGGCAGATGTATGCTTTACGACACCAAGTGCACAGAGAATGTTTACTTCGTGAACTACATGGGTCAGTTCTTAAGGAGCTGAGTAAGCACCAACAGGCACACAGGACTGTGAAGCTTTGCAGTTTCTATGTAGGAGTTTCAAGTGGCAGTTCTTGGCATATTTCTCTAAGAATTATTGATATTGATTTGGTTATATTTTTTCTCCTGGCTTTTAGGTTCATGGGATACTATGACAGACACTGAGGTGAGAACCTTTTCTCTTTTTGCTGTGCTCAGGGCCTTGAGCCTGCTGGGCAAGCACCCTACCACTGAGCCACATCCCCAAGTCAGAGATATTTTTACACACTTATGGGCCCTGATAAACTGGAGGCCAGCCTTAGACTGTTTCCTCTACCCCCAAATAATGGTATCATAGAGGGACAATGCAGGACAAAGGAAACAGTCAAAGATCTGTTAGATAGCACTCTCTACTTCTGATAGGGACTGTCAGCTTTGGTAGGTGACAGTGTCCAAGGGCTCTTGCACTGTGGCTTACTCCTCAGCAGAGTGCTCTGGGGGCACAGTTGTCACTTCCTATTTCCCAGGCAGAAGGCTAAGGCACGTAGATGTGCAGCTTTTTCAGGACCCTGCTCAGTGGTAGCTTGTACTCAGCCTAGTGGCGCAGCAGAGCCTAGTTTGCAGTGCTGCATGGTCCTTAATCACCTTTCAACCAGACGCCCTTCACTTTGAGACTACCACAACTTCCTATAGACATACTTCCTCCCTCCACAGGGCTGAGTGCTACACCAAGGATGCTCACAGGAGGGCTCATCTAAGCAGGGGTCCCACACTGCCATCCCAACACAGGAGCAGAGGCAAAATCTTGAGCAAAAGCATTCTTTCACTTAGCCCTGAGGAAAACCCCTTTGCTTTAGCTTATAAAATCTCACTTCTTTGGTGGCTCAGTGGTGAACCTGGGAGATGCCTGACCCAGGAGTTAAAGGCTTAAAGAGAAACATTAAAAGCTGGGCATGGTGGCACATGCTTAAACTCCCAGCTTTTGGAAACTGAGGCAGGAGTGCTTGAGTGCAGGGGTTCAAGGTCAGTCTGGGCAAACTAGGGAGACCTTGACTTAGAAAAAAATGAATGATAAATAAATATATAGAAACATTTTAAAAAGGAGAATCCTAAAATTTAGATAACATAATTTTACCAAAATTATAAATTAAATGAACAATTTGTTAAAAGGACACTAAGAGTTAAGCAAATAGGGAGGAAATTACTAAGTTGTCATTTCAAAGCAAGGTTAAAAAGAGACAGAAAGTCACTACTAACTGATCAGCATGCACAAAGACATTAAAGGTTCATGGTCTGTCACTTAAAGAACCTAATGCCTCTGGAGGTGCTATCAGGAGATTGGTTTGGTGTCTGGGAGGGATACATCTGTGGAGAAAGCATACTATTGCCTGGTTTATAAACAAAAGGAAACACAAAAGTCTTTGAGCTCAGAAAGTTCCCAAGCACTGAAAACCTGTGAAATTTTTCAGTTATGAAGCAGAGAGCGGGACCTGTCTCCACACTTTTTCCTGTCTCCTGGTAGCAGCAATTCTGACAATCTGCTCCCTTGCCTGGCTTCCCCACTGTTCCCA